CATTTTAGTGCAAATTTCTCCTAATATACACACATGTATGTTATGTGGCCTAAACTACACATTTTTGCAAAGCAATTTCTAAAGCAATGTATTTTTATGCACACTGTAATGTAAACATTTCTGTACACATTTCTTTCTTGCCGAAGGTTACTCATTGTTCTGGCTTGTGCAGGATCAAGTAGGCGGACTCAGAGCTCATTTTCTGCTATAAACTTTAATGATCAGGACCGTACATAAGCAAGACAAGGGTGACTGAGACACTAGGTGCATGGCATGGCTTAGCAAGCTAAGACACTGATCCAACACTTAATACACGTCCTGGGTTCCCATTATTAAAAAGTGGGGTGTGCATATCCTTAGCATGGCAAATAGGGTGCATCTTTGATTTGAGCAAGCAAATGGGACTCTCCCTGGTAGGGTGGGCACAAGCTAAGCATTTGCACCAAATGTGGTGTATCTCTCTCCTCAGCAACAGAGATGATAGCAGCAGCTTGGAGCTGGACTAGGTATCTGATTGTTTAATGGGGTGTATGGAGTAGTAAAGTATGGGGTAGTTATTCTGGTGGGGGACACGTTGTGTTCCTTCTGGAGTGATTTGTCCGCCTTTGGTCCCCACCCTGCACTAGCTCTCACCTGTGGCTCCTATAAGCTGCCAGCCTGCAACAGTGGCCACACCCCCAGAAAATGGCTTTCACTTGCTAAACCAGGTGAGGGTAGCCAGTGGGTCTCAAATCCTCAGCACGTTAGGAGTTCCCTCTGCATGTGAAGACAGGGTCTAGCGGAGTGGGCAGATGAGGCCAATAGTGGGTCCAACGGTCAAGAAGGCAGTTCCCTCTTTCCAGCAACTCCTGCAACCAAGCTGGTGCGAAACATATTGCTCTCCTTTCCTTTGGACCACATTAGTGAGGCTGAAAGGGGGGAGGTCTTGTCATCTGGGCAGCCCAGGACCTCCCTACACACTGCCCAGGCTTGTGCTCTGGGAAGGTCACTTTGATTTTGCAAATGTAGTGGGTTGACTCACTGGTGGAGGAAAGGGGTGGGGGGAGTACACTGCCCCCGGCAGCGCGATCCCAGTGGGGTTCCATTGCGGCTGCTCCCATGCTGGGCGCCCCACCCTACAGGCGATGCACCCCACCCCCAGAATGCATGCCCTGCCCCCAGGACATGTGCCAGCCCTGCCCCTGCCTGCTCTCCGCCCCCGGTGCCGGAGCATGAAGCTCCGTCACTGGTTTGACTTCATTCCTGGAGGCACACTCCATTGTCTCTCGAGACAGACATATGCCAAAAATGACAACTGATGGGGAGGGCTGGAGCTCAATGGTGGTTTTATTACACCAGCCACTGACTGATAAATGGTCATCTGAAATATAGATCATTGTCATTTCTGCAAAGTGAATTTGAAGTTCTTAGCCAGCAGTTAAGTTATCTATCTATCTATCTATCTATCTATCTATCATCTATCATCTATCTATCATCTATATATCTATCATCTATCCATATCAAACAGTTGGCAGTTTTAGCAATTCTGCATTTAAAGTTTCCAGTTTTCCAGAACAAGATCCCTTTCCAGCCACCCAGCTGATCTCACTTTCAAAGTATCAGCAAAGATTCAGGTGCTCTCTAACATCGGCAGGGGGAGAGGCTCATTACTTTGCTTAGCTGAGACTCCACTTTAATTAGTAACATCAGCATCCATTCCAGAACAAAAGGTGAAGGGCCGTTTGTTTAGTGGAGTCCCATTAGACTAGCTTCCCACTTCCTTATGCATTGCTTCAAATACTAAGTGATGGCCTTTATCTCCTCATTGCTCTGCATGGAGCCAGGCAACAGAGTGTGTTCATTCCTGCTGTGTTGAAGTGTAGTTTGGGATGGGAGTATCTTATGTTCAGCCCCCCCCCCAATGCTTGTAGCATTGTGGGGTTTTATGCGCTGTTCAAGACCCATTTTGCTGACTCGAGTGAACGATATGAAGTGGCAATTTGTGACGGAGCTGGCAATTTAGATCCCGCCAATCCCAAAATATACGTTTAGCAGCCTGTCTAATATTGTAGTGCTTCTTGGCTACCATTGTGCAAAAACAAACAGAACACGTTTGCAAAGAGTTGTCTGATATTATAGGCTGTCTAGGAAAACCACCCACAGCCCTGGCACAGCAAGAGAGGTGTGTTTTGTAACTTTACCAATTTAAAGTCACATTTCTTTTCAAAGTGGGTAGGAGTCAATAACTTCCTACAGGTAAAAGGAGCTAATTGATTTTGCCGCCGTCGGTGATCTAAAGTAAGCAGTAGGTAGCTGATTGCTTACTAGCCCTATTTTGTACAGTGCATGAAGTTGAGTGCCTAGAAACTATAGATGAACGATTTGTCCCGCATCTTTTTAACACCGCTGTTAGCCTGTTACAGCAAATAGCTTTCCGCTCAGGGGAAAAAAAAACAGAACAAGAATCTCCCCCTCCCCAAGTCCTAACTATATCTACGGCAGGGTTCCATGGAAGCTGGGTGTATGGGCAGCAGGGTTCTGAACCCCGCCGCCCAGCTCAATTATTTTGTGTGAATATAATCCAACTTCTCATGAAAAGTTAGATCTCTGACCTGTGGGAATTATGTAAACCAAACAACATTGCCTATATTTATTTTGAATATTCTGTTTTTTTGCTATCACTATAGGTGAGCAAATTGATCTGCAGAGTCACAAAACCATACTTGAACTGGTTTCTGCAATGTCTCAACTGCAGTGTGGAAGTGTGAGTGTTTTCCTTAGATTTTCAAGCTTGTTTTTGAAGTCTATAATGTCTAGAACAGTGGTTCCCATTTTTTTTTCAGGCCACTGCCCCTTCAGTTCCAAAAACTCATCCCCAGTGCCCCTTACCCTACCATATAATAAATTTCAACACAGTAACAATTTATTGCACATTTATTCAAAACCCAATTAAAATTATTTGGTTTAATTAATTCAACAAAACTGATGAATTTGATCCAGTGATGTCAGCTTCTTAAAAGTCTGATAGGCATTTATACCTCTGCCCTTCCTGCAGCCCCCTCGTCCCTTAGCACCTCACTAGGTAGTCCTACTATCCCCAGGAAGTGGTAAGGCCGCCTTTGAGAACCCACTGTCTAGAAGCTTTTTAAAAAAGAAAGAAAGAAAGAAAGAAAGAAAGAAAGAAAGAAAGAAAGAAAGATACACTGAATTTTCAGGATCCTGAACGCAACTTATTGTACCAGATTCTGACCTAGTGATGCATACAGTGGTACCTCGGGTTACAGACGCTTCAGGTTACATATGCTTCAGGTTACAGACTCCGCTAACCCAGAAATAGTGCTTCAGGTTAAGAACTTTGCTTCAGGATGAGAACAGAAATTGTGCTCCGGCAGTGTGGCAGCAGCAGGAGGCCCCATTAGCTAAAGTGATGCTTCAGGTTAAGAATAGTTTCAGGTTAAGAATAGACCTCCGGAATGAATTAAGTACTTAACCGAGGTACCATTGTAATTCTAACTTGAGATGTTGAAGTTTGTAATAATAACCTGATTCAGAACATGAATTTGCCCAGCTATGTAATAATGCCTGGAAGTATTAGAAATCAAATATATTTACCCTAAAAAAGTTATTCAGAATGTCAAACAAGATATTGCACATGTGCCAAATGTACTTCTACCTCTTAATTTAAGGCAAAGTGATGAGGCAGGATGATATTACAAGTTGCAAAGGAACATAGCAGGGTCGGGTGGGTGGGGGCTGAGGGTTTTTTTTAGAGTTGCCTGAGAAGGTTGTAAATTGGAATAGGGAAGAAATTAGATTTGATTCCCGCTTACCTAATTTGCACTTGCCAAAACAATATACAAACTGAAGAATAATCAACCTTCAAAATGGCACTTCATTGAATTTTGCAAAAAAAAAATTACAAGAATGAATTATATCGGGGGAAATGCAATATATAGGCAATATCACATGCAAACAAATGTGTATTTTAGGAGAAATACACACACACATGCGCAAATGCTGATGAATAATCATGAGGAGCATTTTGTTTGTTTTTTGATTGATTGAAACATGGCAAAGTGAACTTAAGATGAGAAGAAGATGCAGAGATACTAAAATCAACTGACTAGTCCACTAAGAAAATTATGAACTCGGGAGAGGGAAGTTCAGTCTGCATGAGGAAACAAATAATATGAATTATTTGAGTGGATGAACCCAAGGCCATGTAGTTGTTGTTGTTGTTGTTTTTTAAAAAATGGCTAGCTAGATGTTCCCGGAATGTACCTACATGAAATGGAGTCACTTGCTAGCCATCTCGGCTTGCTGCAAGGTATGGTGTTGCTCAAAAAGCTAACCTGGGGAATCTGAGATTGTGGAGCTAGAGCCTAGGAATTAGCAAGGCCATATGCCACCTCTTCATTCAGGTGTTCAGACCTAGAAGAAAAAAGAAGCACCAAGCAGATTGTTGAGGCATCAAGCTCTGTGTTGTCTATACTGGGGTAGGGAAATACTTTGGAGGGCTGCCTTCAACTTTGGTCAAGCTTCTAAGGACTGCATGCCAGCAGTGGGTGTGGCAATTCCACAGGCATGCGCTCTCTCTCTCTCTCCCTCCCTCCCTCCCTCCCTCCCTCCCTCCCTCTCTCTCTGAGGCATGCAGCCCTCACCCCAGCTGATCTGTGCATATCATTTGAAGAGAGAGATCACTGTCCTTTCTTGATCTTGAGACGATTGATCTGATGGGCAGGGCAATTTTTATTCTCATCATGACAATGGGCTAGGCAGAGAGGTATAAACCCTATAGCATGATTGGGGATCTTTTGGTTCTCCAGATCATGCTGAACTCCCATTGTAAGCAATGTCCAGTGTTGACATGTGTTGTAGTTCAGGACCATCTGGAAGACAAAAGATTCCCTACAGTTTCCTACAGATACTGAGTGGCAGCACACTTCTGTTTTCAAACAGAGGTCCATTTCATCACCTCCTACCTGATTACATTATTTTATTGTATTTTATTGTATTTTAACTGGAGATGCCAAGGATTGAACTTGTGACTTCTGCATGCAAAGCAGACACTCTACCACTAAGCCACAGAAATGATTTGCCATATTCCCCCCACCCCAAACTGTTGAATACAAAGCCCATTGGAAAAACAAAGTAAAACACTGCAAACAAATAGAATGAAATTGCTTGTATATTTGCATATGCACTTGTTCCCTCTCTAAATAAAGAGCATTGGTAATTGACTCAAGAACTGGTCATTAAAATGCAAAAAAGCGAAGAAAAAAAGGAACAGTGCCTACTCATTGGTCTTTTGATTTCCCCCCAGTGCTGTTGAGCTGACAACACAAAACTTTCATTGAAGAGGAACAGCAGTGGCAGCGGAAGCAATAGTAACAAGCTCATCCTCTCCTGGACTTTAAAGGGGCTGCCACTTCACATCACAAGGGACCATGCAGAATTCACTGCCACTGTCTGTGAAAAATGGATGGAAATAAAAAAGGATGGGGGTCGAGTTCTTGCAGCTTTGAGAGAGGACATGAAGATGCCTACTAAATTTTCACAGATAAAAACTGGACCATATTTATGTGCTTGTAATGTGTCTAAATTTGCTCCCTCCCATTTGCACATTGCCAAAGGTGGACTCCGACAATATCTAGAGTGCAGCATTTTAGCCTACCCTCATGCAATAGGTGGTATTCTGCCAACTGTCCTAGGCAACTTGCTTTCTGTTAGATTCTAAATGTAGCTGGAGTACAAGGGAAACCTACAGATTATTAACTCACCTTCACCCCAATTAAGTCTTCCCTTCTTGAAAGAAGATTTATTTTATTTCCCCAGGAAAACAAATGTTTGTTCTTGCCTCCTTATCTTTCACTCTCTCTTTCCCCATCTTCATTTAAAAGATTCGGGGAGAAAGAGAATGAAGGGGAAGCAATATATATCTTTGCAAGAAAATATATGAACACTCTTTCAGAGGTGTGGCTAGCAAGCTGAGCCTCATCACAGACCAAATTGGCTTTCCATATTGATCTTGCAGACAGAAACAAATGGAACAGTGGCCTCCTCTGTCACTGAGTGAAGGGAAGGCAGGTGACTTTGAACCAATTTGAGCTGTCTTGCTGCTCTAAATACGAGTCTGCCAGAACTGGGGATCAAATGCACACCACTCTAAAGGCTGCCGCTTGATGATTGGGTAGTTAAAATACCCACCCTCCCTGCTTTATTGGCAAGTGCCAATCTTGTTCTGGAAAAATGACAGCATTCCTGATGCTATGAAGCCCCACACTGTTGTCATGCTGTTGGAGGCTGTATTGTTTACAGGCTGTTCTGACAGCAATTATTTTAAAGTAGGGATAAAATGGCTACTCTCTGAGGCTTGCAATATGTTTACCACCTTGCTCACCTCCTTACTATCCTCTCCACTCAGGAAGAGAGCTTTGCTAAGGTAAGGTAAAATGAAGGTGTGCTAAACACAGGATATTGCGTTACTTGCTGCCAGCCTAATAATCCGTGCCACCCTACTATTGCTTTTCTCCTTTGTGTTAACTCAAGGACAAGGGATATTTGTTCTCCATGTACTTTACAGTATAATATATAGTTTGATGAAAAATGCAGTATTGATGAAAAGTGCCATATTCCCTTGGAGCAGCTTTCTGGAGGAGGGGCATGTGATGGTAATGGGTGGGGTCAGAGTAAAAAGTGGGCCAGAAGGGAAGGACTCTCACCTTTGTAAAGGAGGCTGCATTCCAGTCACACATGTCAGAGGGTCACACACCCACACCCATACCTTCCTCCCAGAATGATTAGTTTTACCAGTCAGGCAAACACTCTGAAGGAAGGTGCGGAGCAGGGCTGGTGAGGCATATGGACTAAGGTGATGGGTGGCCTAGGGAGAGTCCAGAGAGGTCTGGAGGGCTGCATTTGGCCCCTGTACTTGCGGTTCCATAGTAAAGGTAAAGGGACCCCTGACCATTAGGTCCAGTTGTGGACGACTCTGGGGTTGCGGTGCTCATCTCGTTTTATTGGCCAAGGGAGCCGGTGTACAGCTTCTGGGTCATGTGGCCAGCATGACTAAGCCGCTTCTGGCAAACCAGAGCAGCACACGGAAACGCTGTTTACCTTCTCACTAGAGTGGTACCTATTGATCTACTTGCACTTTGATGTGCTTTTGAAATGCTAGGTTGGCAGGAGCTGGGACCAAACAATGGGAGCTCACCCCATTGCGGGGATTCGAACCACCTACCTTCTGATTGGCAAGCCCAAGAGGCTCTGTGGTTTAGACCACAGCGACACCCACGTTCTGAGGTTCCATAGCCCTGCCCTAAAACAAGAATTTGCATCAATCAATCAGTTCCAGCATAATTATTATATAGAGTTGTTTGGTGAAGACACACACACACACACACACAGAGAGAGAGAGAGAGAGAGAGAGAGAGAGAGAGAGAGGCAGGCAGACACTCAGACCCAAGCGCGCGCTCTCTCTCTCTCTCTCTCTCTCTCTCTCTCTCACACACACACACACACACACACACACATTATTAGACACTCTGAAATTCTTTATGTGCCCCCTCTGGATGTTAGAATTCCTGCCCCACAATTGCAGTCATGGGATTTTTGTCTATGAAGGGTAGCAATATGAGACCGGACTTCCCAGCAATGACTCCCTGCTTGTGGAATGCTCTCCCCAGGGAGGTTCGCCTGCTGCTTTTATTATCTACTTTTAGGTATCAGGCAAAAATGTCTCCTTCCTTAATTTGAAAGGTTTCATGTATACTGTATTTATCACCTCTTCATTGCCTATTTTTTTAGAGGAGTGGGTTGTGCTTTTTGTACACGTCTGTATGTGTTTTTACAGTTTTATTTGGTTCTGGTTTTATTATTTGATATTTATGTTTGCACTATGTCATATTTTGCTTTCGGTTACTGTTTGTTAAAAAAAAAAAGTGACTAAAATGCAACCAACTATTGCTGCTGAAATACCCATTGGTATGTAGTCTCCTCAGACATAGAAAGGAAGGCAGAGGAAATTTATCACCCAAAAAAGAGGTAATATATCACCCTAAAACAATGACCACTATTTACATATAAATCATTACATACTAATGTATATGTATAGGTGCAAATTTTGAAATAATTGCTGTAATTTAAATAGAAATACAATACATCTCACTGTAGTCAGGTGAGCCATAATATATTTCTATTGATATTACAGCATTGAGTTCAAAATGTGTACCTGTGCATATGAATTAGCAAACCCAACCTCAATCTCTCTTCATACCTGGTCTGCCAGCATAGCTATGAATGGGCAGAACAAGCCAAAGTCCAGTTTCAAGATAAATAACTATAAGACAGGGGAGCAGGGCTTGAAGTTAAGGATCTATGATAATTCCGAAGCCTTGAGTATTACCCTTTAAGGCAGCCATCTCATATTTGCCTAATGGTAGGGCCAGCTCTGAACTCACCCAACCCTTTATCTTTAGCAGTTTAGACAAGACCATCTGCTTATTTTTGAATGGAGAAAGAGAGACTAAAAAGAAAAGGAGGGAACCCTAGCCCTTGATCCTCAGGGGCTCTGAAGTGTGCAGATTTTGCTGCATTTTAGAAGTGTGTTCCTAACAGGTTGCATAGGCTAGCACTGGGAGCAGCCACAGAGGAGGTGACCTAAGAAACCCAAATGGAAAAAGGACTCATTTGTGAAGGCATCCTCTCTTTGATAAGGGGATTTGTGGGAGTCCCAGGCAACAACAGCCGCATCTTAAGCAATCAAGGGCAAAGTGGAGGTTTTGCAGGACAAAATTAAGTGGCTAGGTGAGCAAAATAAACCCCTCATACCCAAACCACCTGCATAACATTGTGCTTTCTTTTTCCCATAGGGTCATAGCTGCTTCCTTGTCCTGTTATTCCATGTTTCCAGTCCATTTGTTCCCCTGTATCTCTCTTTATTTTTCTTCTCAACACTTAACTTTTGCAGTGGGGCCTGCACTCACATGAATGAAAGCCAAAAGCATGTGGCCCTTTCAAAGGGGTTGTTTTTTTTAGCAAATGCCTTTTGTAGCAAATAGATAGACTACTCTCATCTTTGAATCAGAAATTGCAAACAGCACCTGTAAATGCCAGATGAATCCTCTTATGGAGGATTCTACATGCATTTGTGTTGTGTGCATGTGTGTGTGTTTGAAGACTTTTTTAAATGTTTCATTTGGGCTGAATATTTTTTTAAAAAATCACCTCCTTTCATGTTTTCCCTTCCCCTGTTACCCATCAAATTGAAGTGATACAGCAACTGCCCATACTCTCCAAAATTTCTCCGATGAAAATAGGAACATCCCATTCCATAATGATAATTTTACTATTTATACCCACACATCTTACTAGGTTGCCCCAGCCATTCTGGGCAGCTTCCAACTTATATAAAAACATAATAAAACATTAAAGGTTAAGAAAAGCTTCCCTATATAGGATTGCCTTCAGACGTCTCAGGGGTCAGAAAACTCCAAACCGCCTAACATTTCTCCAGTGAAAATAGAGACATCCTACAGGGCATTCTGGGATCAAATCCGAAACTGGGACAGCTTCTCTAAATCAGGGACATTCCTGGAAAACAGGATGGGAGAGAGATTCTGCCTGAAAACATGGAGAGCTGCTGCATAGTGTTGTATTCAACGGGGGGTGGTTTGGTGGGTGGGAGGATCTAGTGGATTTAAGCATGATCCAGAGCACTACCACCATGCAGATATATGGTAAAAGATTAAGAAATGGGTCCCCAATTGCATGTTTGGGTTAAAAGTTGGTCCTGAGTCTGAACAGGTCAAAGGTGTAGACAATACTAAGGTAAATGGACAAATGGGCCTGACTCAATGTAAGGCATTTTTCTGTGTTCCTAGACAGTATTCTAAAAATACCTTTATATACCGTATTTATAATGTGACATTGACTCTAATGCACTCCTCGATTTTCAGAACCTTCAAACCAAAATGGTATTTGCTGGCGAATGTGAATGTGCCATTGAATCTAATGTGCATCTTAATTTTTGCAACGTAATGTGCCCGAAAGGGGGCATTAGATTTGAGTAAATACGGTATAAGGTCCAGTACTAATCTATCAAGAAGAGAGGAGATCTTCATAGTGATAAAGAAAATTCTATGCGGTCAGTAAAAGAAGGAAGTTCCAGCAAGTAAATTGGAGCAAAACGGTGGTTGGTAAACCACAATCTTTATTGTTGTGCACATGGAGCAAGAACCCCGAGCATGGGGTGACATTGACTTTTACAACTCCCCTCCCCCCTTCATTCAGAATACATTTCGAGTAGCATCATCAAGACATCATTGACACTTCAGTAGTATGTCACAAACGGGGAAGAGTATCAAAAGGTTACACAAGTTCAACAGTTGGTCACTCTACCAGATACATCTCCTGACAACTCTTAAGTACCCACCACCCAAACAATAATAAAACTATCTGCATGTATCCTTGCCCTCAGGGCTTCTCCGGAGATGGGCTTTCATAACACCTGGCTTGGTAAACTGCTTCTTCAGATGTCCATTGTTGCCCCTTGGTCACTCGCTGGGTGGGGTGAAGTGTACATGCTCTCATGCTTGGGGGATTATGGCAGGAGGCCCTGTTCTCGCTGCCTACATGACTATCCGCTTCTAGGGTCATGGAGAAAGGTGAAGCCTAAATGCACCTTCGTTTAAGGGTTAAAATGGCATTGGAATGGGAAGAATTGGTTAAAGAATGGATTTTATATGAATTTACAAATTTGGGTATCTTTCCCTGAGCTGTCAAACTGACAGAATACATTCAGAATACATATTTGTAACATTGTAGCAACTTTAGGCAATCGAAACTAGAATGGATACATTTCGTATACTTTGTCCATTGTCTGAGCAGCAGGAGGGCGCTGAGTCAACCATGCAAGGCTGAGCTGAGCTATGGGCTTGCAGGCAGTTACAGCTGTCTACAGATTCCGTCCGTCAGAGGACGCTGTACAGTAACCCCCATTAGCTAGCTGCCAAAACCGTAGGTTTCCTGATTGATGAGCTACAGTCATTCATAAATCCCATTCATAAAAATACAAAGTCCGTTCATAAGATACAGAGTACACAGGGACAGAGTTTCCCCATATTTATAAAGATGTGTGTGTCATGCTTGTGCGACTGAAGGGAGAGGGTTTGGGGCTCATCGTCCCAGGAGATAATGCCAGATGGTACCCCCCCCCCGGTAATTTCTGTAACATTAGGAAATAACAAGTAACTCTGGGCCCTGCTAGACACCATATTCAATGCACTTAACCGCCCCCTCCCAAATTATATCAATACAGAGGTTGCAATCAGTGGGATCAGATTGGGTGTGGAGAGAGAATGTATTTTCCCCCGCTCTGCTTCATTGCAAAGGAAATCTCTGTTGCATTTGTATTGGGCCAGGGTGGGTAACCTTCAATGCATTGTTGGCCGACAACTCCCATAACGTCTGACCACTGACCATGACCACAGACCTCTGACCATGCTGATTTGGGCTGATGGGAGTTGGATTCTAACAACACCTGAAGGGCCACAGAATCTCCACCCCTGGCTCTGAGGGGAAATCTCTCAATGATGTCCATTTGTGAGAGAGCTTTCCATCCAATGAAAATACTGTTTCCATGGATGGACCTTTTCAGAGGAGCAATTATGTGGGTGGCAATGGGAGAAAATGATGAAATATGCTCCGCTCCTAATTGGCTACCTTCTTTGCAGACTGTGTATCCAGCAAATATTCTCTGCCCCCTCTTCAGTTGGAATGCTCCTTGCCTTCCAGAAAAATGCCTGGAGTTTTTAGCTAAAAAGGTTGGGATGTTCCTCTCTGTTTGAGAGAGTGAATAAAACATGTCACTATGCTGGATAAGCAGCTTGTTGTTTGAACTCCTTTGCCTGGGTCTGATTTCCAGCATGACACATCTGATCTTTGTTGAGCAATCACACACAAATGGGTATTGGAGTCTTTGTTTATAGACGGAAACAGGTGTTAACAGAAGGGTTTACAGAGGCTGATTAAGGAAAGGCTTTAGATCTGTGGCTCTCCATGTTTGCTTAAGATAGCTTGTCTCCTTACAGACCAAAACCTTTGAGGTCTGCACTCAAGCATATGAGAAAGGGCTGCTGGCTTTTGTGATTTATTTTTCTCAAAGAGTCCCCAAGGTTGCACAGGCCTCATTTCTCTCTCTCTCTCTCTCTCTCTCTCTCTCTCTCTCTCTCTCTGCCCTCCCCCATGTTGCAGATTGTCCTCCTGCCCCAGCCTCAGAAGACTTTCTGTGCGACTTGATGGTTTTGCCTCTGGACCACAGAAAGGTCTCCAGTGGTGCCCTGTTTTTCTAATGGGAAAAGTTTCAGAGGTGTAAAAATGCTGTGACTAAGCCACATCCTGCTCAGACCCCCAAGGCCCTTCTCCTGATGCCTCATGGGCAGATGCTGGCTTGTGAGCAATTAATGAAGGACAACTTTTTTACAAGGTGCCAGGTACTGAGTAATACCTGTG